TTAAATTAATATACAAATTTCCATATAATTCAAAGCAATCTATAGCAGCAAATAAGCTGACTAAAACAAGTAACCTACAGATTCTTTGGACTCCCTAACCAAATAACAATGCTATTCTTCACAGACTTAGATTTTAAAATATCCTGAAATTCACATGTGTTATTGTTTATATATAAGGCATTCCCCAAAAGCTCATGTGAGAGACAATGCAAAAAATTTTAGAGGTGAAATGATTGAGTGTGAGCACCTTACATTAATTAATTAATGTAATCAGTACATTAATCTAATTAACTGTTAGGTAGAGTATGGCTGGAGGAGGTGGGTTCTTGGGGACATGCATTTGGAGTATATATTCTGTCTCTGCTTCTTGGTGTCCATGTCCTGACCTGTTTTGCTCTGCCACACATTTTCCCCATGCTATTCTACCTCATCTTAGGCCTTGAGGAATGGAGATGGCTGTGCATGGAATGAGACCCAGAGTGCCAAATAAACTTTTCTTCTTTTAAAAATTGTCATAGCAGCAAATAAGCTGACTAAAACACCATCAAAGAACAAAACACCTTGAATGATCAAAACAATCTTGAGCAAATAGAACATAGGTGGGGCATCATGGATATCTGGTTTCAAAACATAGCAAACAGCCTTATTAACCAAAATAGCATGGGAGTGACATAAGGACAGACACACAGAACAATAAAACAAAATAGAGAACCCAGAAATGAGCTCACACATCTGAAGCCAACATATACTCAATCAAGCAGCCAAAAATACATTGGAAAAAGAATAGTTCTTCAATAAATGATGCTGAGAAAACTAGATATCCATATCCAGAAGACTAAATCTTGACCCCTGTCTCTCATGATGTATAAAAATCAATGCAGAAAGGACTAAGGATCTAAATCTAAGACCTGAAACTATGAAACTATTAGAAGAAAACATAGAGGAAAAACTTTAAGACATCAATATAGATAAGGAATTTTTGGAAGTGACTCCCAAAGCACAGACATCAAAAGCAAAAATATACCAATGGGGTGGTATTAAACTAAGAAGCTTCTGCACAGCAAAGGAAACAATCAACTAAATGAAAAGAACTTATAAAATGGGAGAAAACATTACAAGCTATCTGGCAGATGATTGATGTCTAAAATATATAAGGAACTCAAAAGACAACCAAATAATATAATTTTAAATATGGGAAAATGATTCATTTTTCAAAAGAAGAAATACAAATGTCCAATATATGTAAGAAAAGAATGCTTAATATCATTATCCATCAGAAAAATGCAACTGAAAACCAGAATGAGTTAGTTATCACCTCACTCCAGCTAGAATTGCTATTCTCAAAAGCACACACATACTCACACACAAATGAAAACTGCTGGTGAGGATGTGGAGAAAAGAAAATTCTTATGTATCATTGATTGAAGGTAAATTAATAAAGCCATTTTGGAGAACAGTATGGAGATCCCTCAAAAAACTAAAAGTAGATCAACCTTGTGATGAGCTATCCCACTTCTGGTGTATATACAAAGGAAATGAGATCAGTATACCGAAGAGATACTTGCACTCACATGTTTATTGAGGCAATATTCACTATGGCTAGGATATGAAATAAACCTAGGTGCCCAATGATGTATGAATGGGTAAAGAAAATGTGGCATATATACACAGCAGAATATCATTCAGCCATAAAGAGAATGAAATGCTGTCATTTTCAGCTAAATGGAATGTTTTTATCACCCAGAAATGGTCTTTTTTATACCCTTTGTTATCAATCTCCATCCTGCATAGGTAAGGACTTTCAAAATTTCTATTCCCATTCAGTATTTTTTCTTTATAAATAAAATTATGCATCTTGTATTCTTTTATGTTTGTCTTATTTCATTCAACTCAGTTTTTAAAATTATCCATAATGTAGTATAAGTCTGTAAAATAACCTATGTTTTATTATTGCATATGAACACATTATAAAGTGATGGAGAGATATGTTTTTATGAACTTGGGGCTATAATAAATAACGTTTCTGTAAGTTTTCATGTATAAAGTTTTATACAATTTCTCTTGGTGAAAGATCTTAGAATATATTTGCTGGATTATAGACTGGATTTTTCAAATGTGTTTCATTGTACCATTTTATACTCGTAACGATACTGCATGTCCTAGTTACTAGCCAACCTCACCAGGATTTGGTGTTTTCAGACTTTTTATTTTTGGCTATAGCTATTAAGTGATGTCTCATTGTGCATTTTTAATTAATATATAACATTGTACATATTTATGAGATACAGTACAGCAATTTGATATAAATGTGTGTATATATATCTATATCTATCTATATATGCACACTATTCATAATGATCAAATCAGAGTGATTAATTAGTATTTCTACCTCCTCATTTATCATTTCAATATGTTGGGAATCTTTGGACTTTTCTGGTTATTTTGAAATATATTACAAATGGTTATAGACTATAGTAACTCTACTATGATATAGAATATTCAAACAAATTTGTTTCATCTAACTGAACTTTGGTAATGGTTTTCTAATGTTTTTCTATTCCCCAGATTGTGGTTTTAATTTACATTTGTTTTATGATTTAAAACATAGAGCAAATTTCCATATGTATTTTATATTTTTTATATCTTCTCTACAAAATAATTATTAAAGACTTTTGCATATTTTTATTAGTATTGAATTTCACTAAGTCTGCACATATGTTTGATATCTACAACTCTTCTGAAGGTCACAAAAGAATAAAAACCTGTGATACTTTTGGGTAAAAACACTATTTACTTTCATTCTGCCCTAACTTAATTTATACATTTAATATGATCCAAGTAAAACTAGCAATTGATTTTTTTGTAAATAAAATTAAACAAGGTGATTTTAAAATTTATATTGAAAAAAAACTAGACAGAAAATTCCAGATAAAGAAGAAATGAGGAAAGTCTAAACACATCAGAAATTAAAATATACTATAAAGGTTTATTAATGAAAACAGAGTTTTATATAAGATTTCAGGGGATTTTTGGTCTCATTTAGAAATGAGACTAAGAAGCTGGAAGGTCTGTTGTGTCAGGCACATGCTAAAAAAGCCTACTATTGGTAAAACTGAGATGTGGTGCATTTTTACACTATGGAGGCTTTGGAGTAAAAAATAGGGAGGTTCTGATATCACCTCTTCCAATTACAAATCATGTGACCTCGAGTAATTTTCAAACTATTTCAGAGTCTCAGCTTAGAATTAGTAATACTTGCTTTATTGAAAAGCTTTTAAAGCTTTTAAGACATACAGTGTGCCTTGTACATAATATTTGATGATTGTTTATTCTCATTTTCATTTTCCTATGTAAACAAGAATTAGCTGCTTTTAAAATTATTCTACAACCCATCTGGAATTTTTGATCCAGGATACTGGTTCTAGAGATGTACATTTTGATGAAGCCTCAGGCTACCAAACTTCATGGTTGGTTAACAAAGAGAATCAATATGCCATTTAATATTAACTGCTCATAGGACAATATGGCAGGAATTCATGGGTAGCCATCAGAGACTTGAATATAGAAAGATCTTCACTTACTAGCTATGCAATCATGGGTAAAGTATAATGCTTCCCAGTCTGTTTTCTGATGTCCAAAATTAGAAAAATAGAGTTGATCTAATTTTCTCATGTTTTTTTTGTGTTGCTACAGCATATGTACTATAGAATACATTGTTACTCAAATATTGCTGTATGATTTAAAACTCCTTTACAAACCAAACATTGGCCTTACATCACAACTTTTGCCCTTTGGTCTTCTGAACATAGAAACAAATTTGAATAAAAATATTAGCATTTTGCAGGGCTCAGTGGTGCAAGCTTATAATCCGAGTGACTTGGGAGGCTGAGAGAAGGGGATTGCAATGTCAAAGCCAGCCTCATCAACTTAGCAAGATTCTAAGGAATTTAGCAAGACCATGTTTCAAAATAAATAATAAAAAAGACTGGGGATGGGGCTCAGTGGTTGAGCACCTCTGAATTCAATCCCCTGGAGACAAAAAGGAAAAAAAAACATTTTGAAATAAAATAAAATTATAATTTAGCTAAATTCTCACTTAAATGTAGGATATCAGGACCCATTTCTTTTCTTGCAAGTTTAGGTAGCTCTAAGTGAGATAATTTGAGAGACACCCAATAACATACCCACCCTGCTAACACAGAGCCAAAACTTTCATTAAAAATACTAGTGGGGCACAGTGGTGCATACATGTAATCCCAGTGACTCAGGAGGTTGAGGCAGGAGGATCACAAGTTTAAAACCAGCCTCAGCAACTTAGTGAGGCACTAAGCCACTCATTGTAACCTTGTTTCTAAATAAATAATAAAAGTGCTGGGGATGTGGCTCAATGGTTAACTGCCCCTGGGTTCAATTCCTGATACCAAAATAAAATAAAAATACTTTTCTTTGAATCTCCATCCCTAAGCATCTGTTTTCCAAATGCAAAGACCAACATGGAAAAACAATTCATATTTCATGGAACTAATGATATGGATTTAGAGAAAAATAAAGGAAGAGAAAGAAAAAGAGAATGTTTTAGATAATGGATAAGAGTGAGGGAAAGAGTTAAAGAAGAAATAAAAGAAGACAAAAACAAAAGAAGAGAAGTGAGAGAACAAAAATATGCAAACCAAAGACCTAAAAATCAAGTTATTTTTCTGTGCCAGAGACATGGCTGGGGTCAACAAATGGCCTGGGATTCTGCCATAGTGTTTGTCCCTTGGTGGGCAATCAACATTTATTTGCTGAAAGAAGGGATAGACAAAGAAAAAAAAATTGTGACTAAGCTTTCTCAGCGCTGAGAACTAGACTGAAAGTGAGGGGGGAATGCGAAAGAACCAAGACACAGAGAGCCACAAAACTGATGAAGCACCAAGAGAATGTGAAGGGTGGCCAGATGAAAAATGTGGCTCAAATGAGCGTCAGCACTTGTCTTGTGACCTCCCTGGTCAGCCCAGCCCTTAACTCCACACAAGGACCCAGGCTCCGAGCCCTGCTGCAGAGGGTTCTTTCAAACTGTGCCTGCTCAGCTGTAGATTTGGGTGCAGGTCACAGGTGCCTGGGTTGCACTGTGTGACTACAGCACAGAGGTAGGTGGCTGAGTCTCCATGCTGCACAGCTGTGATGTTCAAGCTGCTTCCACCCTTCAGCAACGTGGCTCGGAGTCTTCCCTTCTGCTGCACATCCCCAGCTGAATACATGGAGAAGAGGCGTCTGAGACCTGTCCCTGAGTCCTGTCTGTACCAATGCAGACCAGTAAAACCACTGACTGAATAAGTGCAGCTCATGGAGGTGCCATCTCCCTCCCAGAGTCTCAAGGAAGGAGGACTCTGCTCCACCTGGTTTCCTCCTTTCACCCCTGTTTGAAAGATAACAATAGACACAAGGAACATGTAGCTTTCATTCAGACCATTCATAATTTTGTGCCAAAATCTACAACAAAGAGCGGCACAATGAGTCCAGACTACATCCCCATCTGTCCCCTAGGATTTCAATGAATGTCCCCTGGGCTCCCAGCTCTAAGAATCCCCAACTCACAGCCAAAATGAAGCCAAAATATAATTAGCACAGATCTCTGCATCTTCTCCATCCTGATACTTTCTCTTGATATCTGAAATGCTGCCTAGAATTGTATAAGCCAAAAAAGTCTTCTTTCTTGATCCTTTTGATGCAGTGAACTAGAGGGCTTTTTTGTTTATGTGACATCCAGTCAGAGATGAGTTCCTCTCAGGTAAGCTTACTTCCTAGTCTAGTCATAAGGAAAGGCCTAGTCAACAAAGGGAAAGAGAGCCAGTGTCACCTGGTGGCCACAGACAGAATCATTGAAGAAATTTACCACATTAGAAGTGCACCTCTTACAGCAGGTACAGTAGGATAACGGGAGGGAACTACTACTCCTGTGTTGTGCATTTTTATTTTTATCTCATATAAACGTTTTGAAACTCTTGCTTCTTTTTTCCCTTTTTTCCATTTTATTAATTTATTCATAGAAGTCTTACTCTCTTGAAGTAACACTGTCACCAATGATCACAAAGCAAGTAGGCAAAAGGAAAGTAAAATTGAATAGGGGGTTCTCTTTAAAAGAAACAATTCTTTTACTTATAAACTAAGGAATGAAAAAAAAAACAGTGGAAGCCATACGTAAATGTGTCAAAGAACAGAATGTTAAGAATGTGTAAGGGCCAGGCATGGTGGTGCATACCTGTAATCCCAGCAGCTCAGGAGGCTAAGGCAAGAGGAAGATGTTAAGCAACTCAGTGAGTTGCTTAACATCTCAGCAAAAGCAAGATGTTAAGCAACTCAGTGAGTCCCTGTCTCTAAATAAAATACAAAATAGGGCTAGGGATGTGACTCAGTGGTCGAGTGTCCCTGAGTTCCATTCCCCTGGTAATTCCCACCCTGCCCCAATAAAAAGGATGTATATTAGGAAACATGCTTTTGTGGGTTTATCTTTTATTGAATCAGATATGAATTTGTTGGAGACCAACAGAAATCCTTGGAGGGAAGACAATGTGATAATAATTTTAGTCACATCAGTAAGAACACAGTGTGGGGAAGAAAGGTGTCTCTCTGATTAGCAAGTTAAAAACTCATTATTGGAGACTTCAACAGTTTATTTTTAGTCTTTAGTATATGATTACACCATAGAGCTGTGAACCTAATAATTAGTCAAAAGATAGGAAGTTTTGTGTGTCCTGCTTAGCAGTATCTTGATTTAAACTAAATTGCAAATTATATCTTTTTTAGCCTGTCATAAATTTTAAGATAGAAGAGTAACCCAGAGTGCACTGCTGTTGACAAAATCAAAATCTGGTTGATTTTATCCACATCATTTCAGATAACATTATATGAAGGTTCTTAATGACATGCCTTGAAAAATTCAATTATTAATGAAGCTAAGTAGTCCCCTAGCTTATTACTGGACTCTGTGCCAACTCAACATTGCATCCCTGAAGGTCACAACTCTTCCTCTGCCCCAAACAAAACAAACACAAAAACCAAACTAATGCATTTTGATGCTTCTGGCTTTCCTGTCATTTCTTTTAAACAGTAGAAAGGCAAGTGTATGCTGCCATGTTTACATCAAGAGTGCAAATCTATAGGGATAAAGTATGCCAGGCATGCAAATCCTTCTATGTCTTCTTTATTCATTAAGAATCCAATAAGTCTCCAGTTGTCTTCAATTCATTTGATCTAACTTTTGTTATAAAAGAGGTACATTTTTTGAAATGTAAATTGTCCCCTAATGACAGCTCTTCAGCAATAGGTTTTGGATATTTATTCTCCAGAAAATGATGGAGAGAATAAATTCAAA